ATTTCTATTGTGCTATGTAATACAAATTTATGGTTAGTTTGATAGTTCTAAAAACTTATGGGTATAAATTATATTTCTTAAAAAAATGAAATATGTTTCTCAAATTCTATGGCCAAACACATGGTAAAATTTCACCCAAATTTTCATTCAAATAATATTTGCCAAAAATATTTGAATATCTATGGCCAAACGCTAGCTAAGCTTCTACCATTGATTAATAAGGATAAATCTATCCTATTTTTATAACGTTAAAGATAGATTTAACTCGATTACCCCATCTCCCATAATTCAATAAAAATTTTGGACCTTTTCCATACTAACTTTGCCTAGAAGCAAAGTTGCCCCAACTTTTGCATTGGAAAACTTAGTACTTGAAAATATCAAAAAAGTGAACATATTTGCAAATTTCAAGGGATTAGTTAAACATCCCTCATGGCCAAATACTACATTCATGCTCCTCATGTACGGAGAATTTTGTGTTTCGAGAAAAACTATATATTAAAAAAATAACTTGTTATATGTGACATCAAATCTCAATATATATTTTATTGGGGCTTGAGAAAATTAATTTGACTACAATTTATAAATTGTCTACATTAAAAAAATAAATTAATTAAAAAATGTGTTTCCTTGGAACTAAACTCAAAACTTTTTTTCTTGTTAATACCAAAAATTAGGGTTTAATGTCGGCCATAAACGAAGGTACAACATGACATAATCCTCATTAAACTCTTAATTAATTACAACAAAACTTAACACACGTCAAAATTGTATTCCCAAAGACCTACTACATTTTTATACTTAGATATCGGGAATTACTATATTATGATACTATAATGAAGATTCATACAAACTAAAAAGTCGATCCTGACTAGTTTGAAACAGTTATTTTATGGACGAACGGACTTGTTATGTATGGGACGTCGTCGTCTAACCCAATGGTAGTCCATTGTGAAGAATTCAGAAGTGTCTTTCCCTTCAACCCACTCTTGCCTTGTCCCTTTTCTTGCATTTACCATTTCAGCTGCCTCATGTTCTTTACCTAAACACGTATCGCGCAAAATATTAGTGTTTTGATAAATTAAATTTAAAATATTTCAAGCTCTAGATAATTGATCATTATTATGTACTCCCTCTGCCTACCTTTACCTTTAAGTGTCATGGTTTTTATTTTTAGAGTTAAACTATATTCTCTTCGTCCGCTATTGTTTGTCATGGTTTCTATTTTTATAGTTAAACTATAAAAAACTTTGACTAACATTTTAAGATGTACTTTTTTATCATATTGATATGCAAAAAATGCAATTTATAGTACTTTTTATATAGGTTTTGAAATCTAAATTTTTTGTTTAAAATATTGAAGTAATGTAATCTAATTTAAATTTAAAAATTAGTCAAATTGACTTTCGAAAAAGTGCAGCATGACAAATAAAAGTGAACAGAGGGAGTAACATATTACAATTAGTGTAAGTTAAGTGAAACGACATTTAATTTGACGAATATATTCAAAAATTATTTTAAACGTACTATAGAGTGTAATTCTTCTTGCATTAATCTGACGAAAAAAATACATCTTAAATATATTGATTGAAATTTATATAATTTAACTCAAACGAAGCGAAATGTGACAAATATTATAGAACGGCAGGAGTATTATATTAAGTGAAAAGACTACTAGACATGAAATTATGGAATATCAGCATATCAATGGAAGGTTCGTTAGTTAATTAGTCAATGTAGGAGGATTAATTCTTAAAAAAATTTGAACTTTTAGGTCATATATATATGTATAAGATTTTATATATATATATATATATATATATATATATATATATATATATATATATATATATATATGTATGTATGTATGTATATATATATATGAAACCAGTTAATATTTTTATATCATAAGATTACTAAATTATATACATGTACCTGTTAATTGTGCAGTGTTCAATGGTACCAAATTCATTTGATTTCCATTGCTTTTCACCTGCTTCATACAAATGATAACATATCATTTTCATGAAAAAACAAATACATACTATATACTAAAAATATTAAAAGAAAAAAAAAAGAAGAGGATTCCTAGTTTATACTTGAGAAGAAAAAATAACTTTTTTTTTAATATGGAAAAAAAATCATTACATTTGGCATTTCATTGAACTTGAGCTTCCTAGGACTTGAAGGGAGAGTCATTTTCCCTTCATGATCTGTCAAAATTGTAAATAAAATGAAGTTAGTAATGATATATAAGCAAAAGGGGAAGAAAATCAATGGTCAGAAACAAAAAGGGAAAATGACCGTTCGATGCACAAAATATCTGAGTTCGTTAAACACATGCTACACTCTAAGGAATGTGACATAGACAATCTATCATAATGAAAGCATTAGTGACAACTTTCACAACTCGAACTAATAATGGATAGAAACAAAATAATGAATTACCTAACAATGTTGGAGCAGCATGTGAAAATGGAAATAACATGAAAAATGTGAAGCAAATGAGTAGAAGAGTAGGGATGAATTTGTTGATTTCCATAGTTAGGGTTAATTCTGAAGAAGATTAAAATGAAAGTGTAATTCTTTTGGAAATGGAAGTAGGAATTTATAAGAGTCAAAGAAGGAAGGAAGGAAGGAAGTTAAAAGCCCACAAAGTTCAATGAAAAGAAGAGAGAAAAAAGACATACACAAAGCACAAAACTCACACTTCCAAAAATAAAATTAAAATAGGTGTAAAAATCCATATATATATATATATATACACTTTTTAGGAACCTTCACACCATTTGGGTTGATTTTGTGTTACCTAACATCTTGCCCTCTTTGTAGGCCGGAGTGAAGTCAAGTAGGGTCAATGGGTATATCTTAATCTCATTTTTATATATATAGTAGATATATTGAATTTCTGTTGATTTTTTCATATATTTACTTTTTTTATATTTTAAATTGTGTTTGTAAAGATCCTAAGTTGCCGCGATTTTTTGGACAACAATAAATGGAGATTATATTTGCTAACAAAATTGTTATGTTTGTCTAGCTAACAAACCCAATATGACAATTTAATTTAAGTTAGCAAACTTGTTGAAATGATAAAAGTTGAATGTCCTTTTAAATCTTTATTAGTGATCTTGAATTTGAGTCTTAAAAAATGACATTTTCTTTGATAAGGAACACTAAAATTCATCTTATTATATTAGACTTTTTATAATGCAAAATCCAAATTAGTCATGAGTGGACTATGAGCAGCAAATGCTCAAAAAGTTAATGAGTTTCAAATTCTACGAAAAAAATCCATGATGATTATCTTTCACTTGCATGGTTATTAGTAGTAATAAAATAAATAAAAACCAAATATATTGCATATATTTTAGCTCAATGGGCAAATCTCTCACAACAATTAATCATAGAAGAAAAAAAAAGGGACATTAAACATGAGTATACATGATATACTGTATAAGAACAAAAATGTAAAAAAAAAAAGAAAAGGGTTTTACATCAGTAACCTTCCATGTCTTTAATAGAACAAAGGGAAATTGACATAAATAGCCGCCCACACAAAATAATAGCCGATAGATATATAATATACACATAGTATAATATATGTATATTGGATAGGGGATGTAATTATTTTTTGCCACGCGACCAAATGTGTAACTTCCCCTAAAACATGCCACCCCTAAGAGAATAATGAATATCAACATGTATGCATACTTACAATACTCAAAAGATTCAAGATTTAAGGTCTTTGTTATGTATATTCTTTAACTAAGAAGCAAGAATTTTAGAATCTACAACACAGAAGGCCTTGTTTCCAACCTTTTTGTTTACTTAAACGCCTCCGTTCCGCCTTCGCCATTCTTACTGGACTGCTATTCCATTCATTTTGTAAGCTGTGAGGAGGAAATAAGAATGAAAATGTTCATCATACTAATAACAGTATCAAATTTGAAAAGAAAAGGGGAAGTAAGTAGTAGCATACACTGGGAAGGCAAAGGATCTGGTGCTGGTTGTGCTGCTTTCGGATCGAAGAGATAGGCTTCCGGAGTAAGATATAGGCCCTGAGTAAGTGATGGAACCTGAGATAGGACCTCTTGCTGCAGAAAAACTTGCCTCTCCATCAGCAAAATGACCTTGTCCATTAGCCATGTTTTGGGATTCAAGGTGTTGCTGGTGCGCGTTGTCAGCAGTATTAGCGAAAGGAACTTGACTAGAAGCTGAAATGTTATCTGAGTTTCCGTTCTTGTGAACGGAGACAGCCTTTGGCTTGTGAGAATCTTCAGGCAAGTTTTCGACTCCTCCCTCCGTGGTTGTTGTTGATTCTGGTTTGGTGAGATTGAAGTCGAAAATATTAGTTCCTGCTCCCTCCTTGCTATTACCTTTGTTGTTGTTTGACTCATCAGCTGCAGAAATTGCAGTTTGGCTTTTCAAAGTTTGATCAAAAGGCACCTGCAGTTGAAGAAACGAAATCCTTAAACGTTATAGACCAGAAGAATTCCGCGAATCTGTAAGAATGATAGGAACAAACCTGATCGGGTTGCAGTGTAGATTGATCACCATCAGAAGTTTTTATATTGGACTCTTCCACACGAACAACGGTATTAGGAGATGATGGTTTTTCTGATGCATTAGTAGTTTTCCCGTTTGTTGTACATTTTGAACCAAAAATCATCAACAAATCCTCGAGATAAGAATCCTTATCCGCATCTTTGTTGGCTTTATTCTCTAGTGACGGGTTGAAATCGTTTGGAATAGGTGCTCCAGTAGGTTCTATTTCTGCACCATGAGTCACAGCAATGTTCTTGGCATCTTCGCAAGATGAATCTTGTGATACAGTTGCAATGCTCGACCCCATATCGACACTTTTCTTTGTGTTGCTCTGATGTTCTTCATCAGCATCAACAGAAACAGACGTGCTCAGTTGATCATCTTTCCAGCTCTCGGTTAGAACTTTATCTACTGCAGGTACACCCTCATCCATACATATATCTTTAACTATGTTAAAGTTGTTCTCTCGATAGCAAACTGTCAATTCAGAAAGCTCGTGATCGGTGACCCCTTTATCAGAATAAAAATGTTTGTTATTCTCAAACAACTCGGAGTGAGAGGTAAAAGGCGAATCAGAGTCGATAGTTTCATTTCCTTTGTCATCAAGGAAATCGAGGGACTCATATTCTGGAATATTCCATGGCTGATTTCTATCTTTTGTATCACATTCAAATGGATTTCCACCTCTCTTGGTATGGATGATATTCGACAAGCTTCCGGTTTGATCATCTGTAACACTTGCAGCAACAATTTCATTTGTTTCACTTGAAGGAATATCACACGCGAAAGGATTTCCACCTCTATTGTCACCGTTTATCGTGGACAAATCTACATTATGATTGTCCCTCACATTTGAAGCCTTAATCTCATCGTTGTTATCAAAAAATATAGAGTCATCGAGTTCAGGAACTTCCCAGAATTTATTCCCATCTTTTCTGTCGCACGCCAAAGGGTCTTCCCTATTGTCGTGGACATTTGTATTTCCGAAGTCATTTACAGGAAAACCTAAAGCATCTGCCTCCTTGTAACCATTTGAATGACCTAATATCCCATTCTGATTTCCGTTCATTGTAGGCTTCTCTTCAGCTGTGTCAAAGACGCTGTCGTTGCATTCAAATGTTTTAGAATCATGCACAGAGACTAGTGTTGAATCACTAAACAGAGGATGATTATCTGCAGTCGAATTTAACTTCTCAATGCAGGGATCAAGTTTAGTAAGAATACTAGTACTAAAATCCATCGATTAACTCTTAAAGTAAAGATATCAAGAAATAGACGAGTAGTAGAACAAAACGAAACATCTCAATATTTATCAAATGAATCTGGAGTCCCCGGACGAAAGAAGAAAGCATCAGATAAGCAATCCTTATTACTCGAAACTAAATAGAAAAACGGGGAAAAACACACACATTTGCTCAAAACTATGGTGTAGATCCTTTATTTCACACGATTACTTTGTACTTGAGTAGATGCAGCATAAATAAGAAGCAGAGTTTGTACACTTACTGGCTTTCACTGCTCGTATCAGCTGGTAGAGTCTCGAGAAGTCTCAATAGCTGTGAAGCAAACATCAAGTAGTAGTCGCGGAGGAAAACAGCTCAGAGACCTCTGTCAATATAAATATCAAGGATATATTTAAGAACATTCGCTGAAATATCCTAAAATTTAGTACATGTCCAGCTGAATTCTGAAGAAAATGCTACTAACATAACAGGTCAAACGACATTATGAATACTGAGAATGTCCAAGAATACAATAGGAAGCAAACTTAGCATTCAACAATTACGAATACCACTACAACAACAACAACAACAATGCCTCGGCTCCAAACAAGTTGGGGTCGGCTGAGTTACCACTACTTAACATAAATCAACCTGCAAAGAAGGATAGAGTGTACGCATACTTTACTCCCTACCTTGGAAGGTAGAGAGACTGTTTCCGATAAACTCTCAACTCAAGAAAAAGCAGATACTAAGGAAAGCATGACAAACACTCTGGAAACAAGAAAGAACAGTAACTACAAGAGAAAAATTACGACTACTAGCAACAGAGGATAAGCAAGACAATGTTGTATAATCTGCTTAACCTTTTAGCTTAATCCGTATTCATAAATCAGGTAAGATTCAGACTTGTAAATGCCACCCATAAGTCAATACTTTGTGTAACAAAGAAACAAAAAAGGTGCAAAATCACCTCACTCACAAGATGCCAATAATTTGAAATAAAACAAAGAGAATTCACTCAGACCTCATCTTTATTTTGTCTTTTCAAGACATCCTTTATTTTAAAATCTTGTCCTGACAATGAATAGTGAAATTATGGTGTAATTACCAAACTACCTGGAATCTTAACTTTGTCCATCTTTGAAGAAAAAGACAATAAAAGGTCACCATTTTGAAATTTGTATAAAAGCTCAACAACGTATTCAATGAAATTTCCTAAGTAGTGTTTAACGAGGGAACAGTTTACGCAAATCTTATCCCTACCTTCCGAGTATAAGCTAAGTCAAAAGATCAATCTCAAGTCTCAACCGTCCATTTTGTTCTTTAGCTATATTACCTAATTATAATCAACTAGATCTAGTTCTAATTTTTAATAACAATCTCTACACAAAAAGTTAACTATGTTTTATAAAAAAAAAAAGATTTCTTCACAATGATACATTCTGACAGGTTGTCATAGGATCCCAAGAAAATTCACAATCTCATAAAATCCAATAAACAAAGAATATAAACAAAAGGGTTGTTAATTATTAAATATAAAATGATTATAATCAAATGATTTAACATATAAACTTTACCTTTCTAAAAGTGAATCAAAAGAATTTTCCTCTTTATCCCTTTAGTACAAAATTCTGTCTCTGGGTTTCACTGCAAAAAGCATAAAAACACCAAATTTCATCAAAATTAAAGACATAAACAGTACTTTCAAAAAAAAAAAAACAACTACAAAACCAAACTATTAGCTAACGTTTAACTTTAAATTTTTGAAAAATTATCTTCAAATATAAATTTCACCATAGATTTTTTAAAAAATTCATTTTCAAATATTTTCAAATTCTTAGAAACTCAAGTTTTTGACTTTTTGGGACTTTCGATTAAATTTTTTCAAATAAAATGCACGTCTAAACACAACGTTTAAATTCTAAGAACCACAATATGAAGAACTCAAATCAATCAACATATAAACAACACATTCAATAAATTAGTAGAAAAAAAACAGAAAAACAGAGAAAGACAAGATAACCTGTTGTGTTGTTGGGAAGAAGAAGAAGAGGATATGTTGGTGAATAATACTACAGTAAGCTCATGAAACGACAAGAAATCATGCCGTTTTGAATTGCTTCATTGAGTATTTTAGAGAGAGAAAGGGGTATAGTTAGAAAACGCAATGAATGTGACAGAAAAGAGTTTTAAGTAACAAGTAAGAAGAAATAAGAGAGAGTGGGAAGCCAGCAAACATTAATATACAGCTAATACAAAAATATAATTTGTCAACTCTTTCTCTCTCTATACGTATACATACACAAAACATATAATATTTTGTCCACGGTTCACTGTACTACGACTTTTCTAAAGACACATCGTCATGATTTGAGAAATTAAATCATAATATATTTATAAAAAAATATCTATTTTTAATATAACGAACGAAAATAAAGATATATTATCTATTTTTTTTTGGTACGTGAAAAGAAAAACAGAGTATAGAGTCAGTTGGTCATAATAAAAAGGTGCAGTGCACGAAGGAGAGGCACAAAAAAGGATTAGTTATTTGTTCTAAAACTCAAAATAGATTAAAAAATACATTTAAAAAAATTAAAAGAGGACGGCGGCAGAGTTTACCGGAAAAATAGATCAGTCGATTCCGATTCCGATTCAGTACGCCGGCGGCGGTAACAGTTTTTTTTTTTTGTAGTTTTATTAGATCCTATAGAGAAAGGGATTTTTGGGATACTGACAATGTAAGAGCTGACTTTGTATGAGTTTAATTTTTTTAATGGAGAGAAAAGGGACAAGAGAGAGTCAAAAAGGTGAACAATTTGGGACGAAGCTGTTTGGTATATCTGTCTTTTTTTTTCCGTGTATTTTAATTGAATGGAGAATTTATCAAAAATAATTAAATACGAGTAAATTAAATTTAAAATTATCGAGTGAGTCTTTGAAAAGATAAATCTACATGTAAACTATGCTTATGATGTTCTTTAATTGAGTTAATAATTTATCGAAATTTATTTCTTTAATTCTCAAAGACGAGGATAAAATTTATTTACGTATTATTTTCTTTTAACTTTGAGTTACAGTATAAGATTATATTTGAAATGTAGTTGTGCATTAGCTTTTAAAATTTGCTCTTTTTTTTAATATATATAATTTTAGAGGCTTTATTTTATTGAAGAATGTTTAATAAATACAATTTAATTCGAGGTTAAATGTCCAATAAATACACTTCATAATTGAAGTGTTATTAAAAAAATAAATTTGAGAAATTATGTAAATAGTATCCTAACTTTAGAGTAAACTGTTTGTCATTATTGACGAATAATCAGAAGTTTCACTTTTTTTTCTTTACAGTTGGACCAATTTGGTCTAAATGACTTTAAATTTGACATTTAATATTTTAATGTTGATTCTAATGATTTTTAATGACAACTCAAATATTCAATAAATTTATTGTATTTTCAATAATCAAATTCAATAATTGTTTGGTTCAATTTTCTTCAACCAAATTGATTGATCACAATTCACAAATAATAATTTTTCAATTTTAGTAGAGAGATTAAAATGTTAGATTATTTTAAATTCGCATCGAAAAAACACTTTTTATTGATTTTTCTCATATTAAAATTTAAATTTAAAAACTCTGATTAAAAAAGAAGCAACTCTGTCTCCTGCACCATGTCCGTTGGCGGTAACTTCCATTTTTTTCCCATTATACATCTCTTTATAATAATATTACAAATTTATTTTTTTTGCATTTACTCCTTTCATGTATTGGTAGCTATATTAAATGTTTATTCATGGACCATTGATTTTGTCCTACATGTTTATTATAATTTATTAAGAACAATACATTCATTATTTTTTACCCCTTAGTACATATAATTATTTTATTTTTTCCCTAAACAAAATATACATTTAAGAATGTCTATTTCTAGGTTCGACTACACCTAACTGTCAAATTGTTAAATTTATATGCACACAAAATACATTTAAGAATGTCTATTTAAAATTCACAATTTGGTGTGCAAACTGTTCTTTCAATCATATGAAGTATGTTAAATTAATGCATAATAATTTAAGAGAAGATTACTAACTTCTTCTTTATTAAATGTAGATTCATGAAAATAATAAAATTAAATGTTAAGTGACATAATATAATTGTATATAGGTAAAACTATTCAAAACAAAGATTATATTACCAAACATATTGATAGGTGTAGAGAGAATTTATATAGTCAATCGTTGAATATAAGAAAGATTGATTCGTCCGAATAGTTAGATTATTTGAAAGATACATACTATTCGAATATCCTTTGAACGTAGACATTGAAATATAAAGATCTGAAGCGATTTATATTAACAAAACTAGACTATTCTCTAAATTCATCCGATTTATTTTTAAAGATAATAAAAAGATTTGAAAATTATATTGGAGCACACGTGTCATTTTCACTATAATTCGCTTCCATACCTAACCACTTACTAGTTAAGATTCCATCCATGTCATCATTTCAATATATATATATATATATATAATATTAAAAACTGTCTTTTAGTTAGAATTATATCGATATAATAAAATAAATATTAAGTACTTGAAAATTTGTAGTAGAAAAATGGATGTCAATTGATTACGTAT